CAGGCAGAGGCTAGATGGTCACTTGTTTCATATATCTCAGTGGAGATTCCTTTGGTGTATGGGTTGGACTAGAGTTGGCTGCTTAGATCCTTTCCAACTCTCAAATTCTGTAATCCTCTCCGAAAATGTAAGGCCTTTGGGTTTTACCCTTTTGTGAGGGCTTGATCTAGTTCTCCTGTGTCTTTATATCTTGGGTATCTAACACAGTACCTTGAATACAGGATGTGTTTAGTAAATATTTTTTGGATTGGATTATACTCCCTCCCTATTTCCATCTTTCGGAATCTTTTTTCTCCCTTTCTAAGCTCGGCTTGGGGACTACCTCCTCAGTAAAATCCTATTATGTATTATGAGGTATGACAGGAATTTTGTGTTCTTTGTGGCAGGTGCCAATGGAAACCAAATGTAATGTTACATATCTTTTTAAAATAATTCTTTCAAATTTTGTGGTTGAAGTACCTGAAATTTCAGTTAAATTCATCTATCTGCTCTCTAATTGAACCCTCTTTCTTTTTTTGTACATATAATTTGAAAATAAAAAGCTCCATTTCATAAAAAAAGTCATGATATTTATAAAGTGGGATAACATTCTACTAATAATGCATGCATAGAGGCTAGAGGAGAATAAGGATGCTTTTTGACAGCAGCTGTTTACTAGTAACTGACCAAAGTTGATAGGCAGCTGCACATGTCATTTTTATCAATGTAGTATTGTTTTCAGATAAATTTAGGGATGGTCAGCTTAACTTTGAATTCAGAAAGCATGTGACTATGAACTATGAGTATGAGTAGTGTGAACCTGAACTTGTTAAAACTACTTGGGTTTCACAGTAGCTCTTCTTTTACATGGTACCGTCCTATCACAGGAAGCATACTTTATATCTTAAAACATTGTAGGTTCATAATTGTTGTTGTATTGTATGGAAAATTAACACTAAGCAACATCAAATCATAAACTGGAAGAACACATGAAAATTGATTTTTGTTCATCTAGATCACAGTGAGCAAAAATAGTTCATTCCAGGTCAACAATATAAACCTATACTATTAATGGCATTTCAATAGGGAAAGGAATTACACAGTGTTAAATATCGTGATTCTTTTTTTTTAATGGTAATTTTTATTTATTTATTTATTTATTTTTTGTTTTCGACATTTACTTCCACAAGATTTTGAGTTGCAAATTTTCACCCCATCTTGCCCCTCCCCCCACCCCAAGATGGCATGCATTCTGAATACCCCATCCCCATGTCTGCCTTCCCTTCTATCTCTCCCCCCCTTCTCTTATCCCCTTCCCCTTCAGTTTTCCTGTAGGGCAGGATGGATTTCTATACCCCATTTCCTGTATTTCTTATTTCCCAGTTGCATGTGAAAACATTTTTTTTTAAACATGTGTTTTTAAAACTTTGGGTTCCAAATTTTCTCCCTTCCTCCCTCCCCACCCACCTTCATTGATAAGGCAAGCAACTAAATATAGGTTATATATGTGCAGTGATGCAAAACACTTCCATAGTGGACATGCAGTGAAAAACTAACTCTATTTCCCTTAATCCTATCCCACCCCCCATTTATTCTATTCTTTCTTTTGACCCTGACCCTCCTCAGAAGTACTTGCTTCTGATTACCCCCTTTCCCAATCTGCCCTCCTCTCTATCATCCCCCTACTCCCTTGTCCCCTCCCCCCCATTTTCCTGTAGGGTAAGACAGATTTCCATACCCAATTGAGCATGTATGTTATTCCCTCCTTAAGTCAAATTCTATGAGAATAAGATTCACTCATTCCCTCTCCCCTTCCCCCATTTCCACTCCACTGTAAGAGCCTTTTCTTTTCTGTTTTTTTTTTTGAGGTAATTTACCCCGTTCTACCTCTCCCTTTCTCCTTCTCCTAGTATAATCCTCTCTGACCCCTTATTTTTCCAGATATGACCCCTTCATTTTCAACTCACCCTGTGCCCTCTATCGATCTATCTATATCTATATATACACCTACATATAAGTTTTTCTCCTCCAACTACCCTAATACTGACAAAGGTCTCATGAGTTGCAAATATCATCTTTCCATGCAGGAATGTAGACAATTCAACCATAATAAGTGTCTTATGATTTTCTCTTTCCTGTTTACCTCTTCATGTTCTACTTGAGTCTTGTATTTGAAAATCAAATTTTCTATTCAGCTCTGGTCTTTTCATCAAGGCTTTTGAAAGCCCTCTATTTCACTGAATGACCATTTTTTTCCCTTGCAGGATAATACTCACTTTTGCTGGGTAGGTGATTCTTGGTTGTAATCCTATCTCCTTTGCCCTCCAGAATATTATATTCCGTGCCCTGCAGTCCCTTAATGTAGAAGCAGTTGAATCTTGTGTTATCCTGACTGTGTTTCCACAATACTTGAATTGTTTCTTTCTGGCTGCTTGTAATATTTTCTCCTTGACCTGGAAACTCTGTAATTTGGCTACAATATTCCTAGGAGTTTTCCTTTGGGGATCTCTTTCAAGAGGAGATCGGTGGATTCTTTCAATCTCTATTTTGTGCTCTAGTTCTAAAATATCAGGGCAGTTTTCCTTGATAATTTCTTGAAAGATGATGTCTAGGCTCTTTTTTTGATCATGGCTTTCAGATAGTCCAATAATTTTTAAATTCTCTCTCCTGGATCTATTTTCCAGGTCAGTTGTTTATTCAATGAGATATTCACATTGTTTTCTGATTTTTCATTCTTTTGGATTTATTTTACAGTGTCTTGATTTCTCATAAAGTCACTAGCTTCCAATTGCTCTATTCTAATTTTTAAGGAAGTATTTTCTTCAGTAAGCTTTTGGACTTCCTTTTCCATCTGACCAATTTTGCTTTTTAGGGCATTCTTGTCCTCATTGGCTTTTTGGACCTCTTTTGCCATTTGGGTTAGGCTATTTTTTAAGGTGTTATTTTCTTCAGTATTTTTTTGGGTCTCCTTTAGCAAGCTGTTGACTTGTTTTTCCATGATTTTCTTGCATCACTCTCAGTTTTTCCTCTACTTCTCTTACTTGCTTCTCAAAATCCCTTTTGAGCTCTTCCAAGGCCTGGGACTGATTCATATTCTTCTTGGAGGCTTTGGATGTAGGAGCTTTGACTTTGTTTTCTTCTTCTGGTTGTATGATTTGATCTTCTTTGTCACCAAAGTAAGATAATATAGTCTGACTCTTTTTGCGCTGCTTGCTCATGATCCCGGCCAATTACTTGAGTTTTAAACTCTTTGTTAAGGTAAAAGTCTGTTTCCAGTGTGGAGAGTGTACGGTCCCACGCTTCAGGGGTTTGTTCGGGGGTTTTTAGAGCTACTTTTAGGGACCTGTAAATTTTCAGTTCTTCCAAGGTGGTATGATAAGGGGCAAGGTGTTTTCTGTCCACCACCACAACAAGCTGCATCACGCCAGCGTTCCTCCTCGCCCTAGGACCGCCCCTCAGAACTGTGACCCAGATCCAAGCACCAGTAAAGCAAGAGATTCCTGCCTCAGCACTGGCAAAGAGATCCCTGCAGTCCTCCTCTGATCAGCCACTCGATTCCCTCTCAGTCTATGAACCTGAAGCTTAGGAGGCAGCCACAGCCTGCGCTCAGGACTGGTGGCTGAAACCCAGCTCCTTCTCTCACTGCAGTCACAGACTTTTCCCACTGACCTTCTAAGTTGGCTTTGGCGTTCATGGGTTGAGAAGTCTGGAAACCACCACAGCTGCCTGTGGAGTCAGCCTTCTGAGGCCTATTCCAGGGTTGCCGCGGCCTGTGTGCCCACGCCAAACTGTGCTCTTCTCCCTGCCTAGCATGATATACCTTTCCGATCAACCGTCCAGGCTGTCTTTGGCTGTCTTTTTGTGGGTTCTGCTGCTAAATATCGTGATTCTTATGCCCAGCTTTGGAGCACGTAGACTCCATGTTGTAAAATAATAGGTGGAAGAAACTCAGAAATATAAAGCAGCAGAGTACAAATTAAAAAAGAAATCAGTGCTCTGAGTCGCCTTTTTAAGCAGTCAGTATGCATTTATTAAGTGCTTGCTATGGACCTGGCTCCAAAAACTTGGCTTAGGAATGTTAGGCAAATGTTTCCAAATTTTTATTTAAGAGGAGTAAGCTGCAGTGGTGCATATTTCCATTTTCCCCTCTATGGAGACATTTTGATCCTTTTTGTGAAATTGCTTACCCTTTTTTGTTGTTGTTGTTGGTGGTGGTGGTGGTGAGGCAGTTGGGGTTAATTGACTTGCCCAGGGTCACACAGCTAGTGAGTGTTATGTGTCTGAGGCCGCATTTGAACTCAGGTCCTCCAGACTCCAGGGCCAGTGCTCTATCCACTGCGCCACCTAGCTGCCCCTACCCCTCCTTTTTTTAAAAACAAGATACAGATTGCAGGGTAAATTGTTGAGGAGAAATATCTAGAAATGAAGGTAATATAAAAAGAAGAGATACCAACATTTTTTTTTGTTGTTGTTAAAGATTAAGTCTTCCCACCTTATCCAGGCTAAAAGTACATTTACTGTTCATGGGCTTGATCCCACCTACTACACTTAGGATTTGGGCTGGTTCCTGTTTTCATTGGGCAGCCTGGTAGGCCTCTTTCCCACTCCTACCCCTCCACACCCCCCTACCCCTACTTTGGTGGGCACACAATGTTAATACCAAACTTACTGCGGGCACCCAAGCTCAAGAGATTACTTCCAGCCACAGTCTTCCCAAGTAGCCGGGATTATAGATGTTTGCCTCCACACCTGTACTTGACGCCAAGCGAGATCTGTTCTTCCTTCCCCCTCTCCCAAAGCCATAGTTGTATGCTGAGACTAAATGTAGCATAGAGATTTGCTTGCTTGAAAGATTCTTTTTTTTTTTTTTGAAAGAGAGATTCTATGGGTAATATTTTAATTTTTAAATGATCTTTTTTATTAGGGAAAGGTGTGTAGTAATTGTGGCATTTGGGGCAGTTGTGGTTTGTTTTAAAATTCTTTCCAGGCTTAAAGCTTACTTATGTTCATTTTGTTTGCAGGGAACCCGAGTCTGGTTGCGAGAAAATGGCCGGCACTTTCCAAGCACTGTAAATTCCTGTGCAGAGGGAGTTGTTGTCTTCAGGACAGATTATGGGCAGGTAAGGAGTAGACATATCACTTGTAAACTAGTGTCTGGTTTACTTGGCTATTTTTTCACAAGTTTTTTTTGTGGTTTTGAAAATATGTACATTTCTTTGTTTTCCAGCTGATCTAGCAATATTCAAAGAAGAATACAAAGTTTCATGAATGTCTTAGACCCACTAAAATTCTTTCAAAATGAATGACACAAACAAAATATGACAAGAGGGCTTTTAACTGTATTCTGTAATATTCATAGAGCATCAATAAATAACCTAGAGTATCTCCCAGGCACCAGAGGGGTGCCCTAGTTGGTATTAGCTATTTTAATTAAAAATAATATGATTGGTTAATAAGCTCATCTTAGATTATTAGATACCTGATTGGTTATGAGCAACTTTATTCATTTTTCAGGTTTGGGTTTTTTCATGTAATTTTTTTCTTGATCTTGTGCATCTCAAACAATTTAAGAATAAAATTTTGAATCTAGAAACAAATTTTAGGGTTTATCAGTGCTGTAACAGCAGTTTTTGTGCTAGAGGCATGGAGCTCCAAATACACCAGCAAATCAACTTCTTAATGCAAGTTTGGGGCAGGATACCCTGGCACCCAAGGCCCTGTGTGTGGAGAGATTCAGGACACAGTGAGATTTGTGGGGTGGGGAAGAGGTGAGGGGAAGAAGGACTGGGAAAGGGTCATAGTTGGGAAGGAGTTCTTTTGGGGTTGCTATCACCTCCTACCTTCCTTTTTTAACTATTATTACTAACTTAGAGGCAACCCCTTTGTAGTGGATAGATAGCCAGCCTTGGAGACAGAAGCTGGGGGTTCATTTCCTACCTTGAACATCATATACTTGCTGTATCCCTGCATTAAGTCAGCCAACAAGCATTTCTTATTCATGTGCCCTGTACAAAATGCTAGTAAGTCACTTAACCTCTTAGTATCCCAGGCAGCTCTTTTAAAGTATAATTTACAGAACAGGTACTTGTTTATATTAATCAGTAGAAACCATTTCTTCATCAGGAGGAGTTACCTATACCAGTGAAGTCTGCTCCAAAAAACCAGTTTCTATTAACTGGGCCCTAAGCCCTAACTCAGGTGCTTAGAGTGCAAGTAATGTCATTGTCTTTTATACTCTGGCATCCTGGAGCAAAATGCCAGTGAACCATCCCTAGTTATGGCCCTGGGTTATATTTATTATTTTATAGAAGTTAAAGAGAAGGTTTCAAGATCTAATTTTTCTCCATATTTTTCTTGTAGGCAGCATTACAATCTTAGAAAAAGCAGTGAATCTTCTTTTCATGTTGAGATGGAATATAGAATAGAAGGGACATTAACATAAAGTAATTTACAAGCCTTGAAGCCCTATATATGTTAGCTAGTATTACTTACCAGTGCTTGATACTTCATTAGATCTGTGATCTCATCAATGGACACATTATCTCCATAAGTAAAAATCACAGTCCATCTGTGCCTTCTCATCCTGTGCAGTCCTTTTCTGTGGCATAGAGCAAGAATATAGAGTTGGGGGGGAGGTGTCCATGAAATTGTTTTTTAAAATCTTTTGATAACTAAATTTTAGTATAATTGATTTTATGCATTTAAGTAAATAAATAAAATAAATGCATATAATTTATTTTATGCATTCAAAAGCATCATTCTGAATAGACTGTAATCTTCACCAGAATTCCAAAGGCATCCATATGCCACAACAAAAAAAGTCGAGAACCCCTGATTTAGAGGTAGTCAAGACTTGGGTTCAGATCCTGCCTCAGATGTTTACTAGTTATGAGATGCTGACAAGTCATGTAGCCTCTTTGGGCCTCAGTATCCTGATCTGTAGAAGGGGTGAACTTCTCAAATCCCTTTTAGTTCTTTAACTCTTTGTTCCTATAATCTTTAGTAGAGAATTCACAGGGAATCCACCCATTGTGCTAGTCTAGGTTTCCTGTCATTTGTAGCCCTTTTCTAATCAGGCTGTTTTGTATACATAACGAAGTTATGAATGTAGTCTCCAGGTTGGTATGTCAGGATAAATACTTCAAGATCAGATTGCCACAGTTCGTATGGAGAAATACCTCAAGAATCAGAATTTTTAAAGAAGGAATGGAGATTTTAGTCATGTTGTTCTCAGCTGCACGTTGTATTAATCGACGAGAAATTGGTTCTTTTTTTAAAAAGGCCATACTTCTCAAAATGATATAAACTAATATTTCTGTCAATAGTAATTTATATTAATTCATGATTTTTCATATTTTCTCTCTTTAGATGAAATTCTTGAATGATTTTTCCAATATTATTTGGTGGTAATACTTTTTTTTACTTTTAGATATTGGAGAAGTTGGAAAACAAAAATTATATGCCTGGGGTCCTACAGATAGCCACTGGTAGAGCAAGGCCCTAGGGTATAGCTGTCTTATCAATATAAAACAATATAAAAAGAGAAAAAACAATACACTCTAGTACATCAGAAAGTGATTAAAATGTCTATACTCTTTGGCTCCGAGATTTAACTACTGGTCATATTTACTAAGGAGGGCAATGATAAAAAGAGGGACCCCTTTCTTAATATGAAATAAAAAAACAGAACAATTTAAATATTAAATATTTGGAAACAAAGTTGATAACCTGTTGTTTGGGGAATGCCTAAATCTTTCTTGGATTTCAAAAATCCTAAATGTATCCTTTCCCCTGTCCCAATATGGAAAGAGGTTAGTTGAGGATGTAATGACCCCTGTGGTTTTCTTCAGCCACCAAGTTGAAGACTCCATATGGGTGGGATTTAAAAAAAAAATTTTATTTATTTATTTTTAGTTTTCAACATTCACTTCCATAAACTTTTGAGTTTTAAATTTCCTCCCCTTCCTTCTTTGCCCTTCCCCCCTCAGACGGCACGCAGTCGATACAGGCTCTACATATACATTCATATCAAACATTTTCACATTAGTCATATTGTAAAGAAGAATTAGAACCAATGGGAGGAACCATGAGAAAGAAGAAACAAAAAAAAAAACAACCACAAAAGAGAGCAAATAGCATGCTTCCATCTGCATTCAGACTCCATAGTTCTTTCTCTGGATGTGGATAGCATTTTCCATCATGAGTCTTTTGGAGTTGTCTTAGATCCTTGCGTTGCTGAGAAAAGCAAGTTTATGAAAGTTAGTCATCGCACAGTGTGGCTCTTACTGTGTACAATGTTCTGCTGGTTCTGCTCACTTCTGGGTGGGATTTTTTAGGCCTCTGCATGACCTAGTAGTCATCCCAACACTGCCAGAGTCCATCAGGAAGCTGAGCCTTCCCTCCATTCCCATGAGGGAATCCTGGCCCTCTTCCCTCAGACTCTTGGTGCCTTTTTTCTAACTTTTCTCTTTTTTGGAAGAGGGCAAAGGATCCAATGTGATTATTTTTATTTTGATTAAAATTCAATGATACAAACTTGTCAACACTCCTAATTATGATTGGATTTATGATGCTAAGGAAGCAGGTAGAGCAGAATAGGGGTGGAGAGGGCAATTGATGTGGTAGAGGATACTTATCCTTGCCTTTGAAATTATATTAGCCTTCCAGATAGCTTATATGCAGGCAATTTGGAAGGCCAAGCTGCTTTAGTTGTTTCTGGATTCTTGGGTGGAGGTAGGGCCTGAGGATGTATCCATGGTCTCTTTTTTGTCAATTAGAAATTTAACTCTCAGTTGCAAGTGGCTTAGGCCTAACCTGAAGGAGGGAGTGTTTCTCAGCATCACTGGCTTTTTTTCATAGTTCCCCACAACTTACCTCTTCCTTTCTTTCATCCTGACTCATTTCAGCCTAATCCTCTTTCCTTCCTTCTTTCTGACTTAATATTACCATATGCTTAGGATTCAGAGCCGTTTTCACTATGCCTACTCTTGTCAATTCCACTGGCAACTCAGGCTGGGTTCTCCCTTGTCCCAACAGGGTGATCTTACAGAACACTTCTAAGCAGTCAATCCAGAGCTTCTTGACCTAGGTTTAGTGCTGCCTTTAGTGTCTAAGGTGAAGGGAACAGAAGAACTGCTATTCTGGTACCTTTTCACATGAGGGATAATGGGAGGATGCAGCACAGGAGAACAGGGCATTAGCAGATGGAAAAAAATACAGACAAAGGTCAGTCTTGGAACACGGATGCTTAGTCATTATAATTGTTTTCCCTTCATTGTAAATTTTTGCTCATGTAATTAATCATTAATAATAATTTAAGTGAAATTACAAAGTTGTAAGGCATCTTAGAATGATAAGGTATTTAGTATTGTAATGTACTTTCAACTTAAAGAGAGGAAACGTGCTGAGTATCATCACCATAATAACTACTATGGAGGGAGGCATTGTAATATAGAGGACAGAGAGCTGGCAGAAAAGACAAAAGTCCCCCTGCCACATAGTGACTGTGTGACCCAAGGTAATTCATTTAAGCTCTGAGTGCTTCAGGTAACACATGATGACTAAGTTGCAGAGGAGTAGATCTGCATTAGTCATTTGGGAGTTCCCTGGCCCATACCAATGAAATCGGCAAGTCAGGTCCTATCCAGCCCCTATGGAGAGAAGTAATGATTGAGCTACTTAGTGGAGAATGGTCTTCCGTTGATTGAAAGCTGGATTAATCATGTACAGTACAGTGGTAGACTCCAAACACAGACATATATAACCAGAAATTTGAAAACACACACAAAAAACCCCCACAAGAATACTAGGTGTAAGGTATTATTTAGATTTGGTCCTTTGGATGTATGTCTGAATATAATACTTTACAAAAAATTATTTTGTAACATTGTACTCAGAGAATTTAGCTCAGTGTTTCATTTTTTCTCCTTCATTAAACAGAACTTTTAAAAAATTTGTCCAAAGGTTCACTTACCATAATGGAGTTTAAATTTTTGATTGGCCTGGAATAGCCAACCTAAGACAGATTTTACTATAAAATTGTTCATGAAATAAATGCGTTAATCATGCATTGAAATAGAATTTTATACCGAATAGCATAGTTGTGAATGAAAGGTAAGCC